GTCATCTGCCGACGATGGCTCAAAGACCACTGCCCCTTCAGTCGGAGTGACTGTCAGTGCCTGCGCCCCAAGAAAGCGACGCCCGCGCAACAGCTAAAACGCGGGCAAACCCAGGCCGCCGCACCAGGGTTCACCCATGGAGGGCCAACTGGGAGGGGCCGGGGAGGCAAAGCCGAATTAAGGGGCAAAGGCAGGGGAGACAGAAAAGATAAAGGCAAGGGCAAAGGCGATAGCAAAGGCGGAAAGGCTGACCGGCCCAAGAAGCAGAATGGGCGGGGTAGCAGCACCCCCCCTCAGAAGAACAAGAACAAGGTTTGCTATGCCTACAGCCGAGGCCAAAACATTGCGACGGCTCTTGCGGTCGCGAGCATCGCCCGCTGACGAAGCAAGAAAAGCAGGGGCGGGGCGCCCGGGGGCAAAACCTGCAGAAGGCCGGCATGGGCCTTCCTTGCAGCCGAAAAGCGGAGCAGACGGCTGCGGCCGAGAAGAGCGCGACAGCCTCGAAGCAGTTGGCTGCTCCCGCGCCTGACGGAGGAAAGCCGCAGGGCGGCGAGACAAGTGGTCAGAAAGGCAAAACCAAGGCGAAATGCTGGTACCACTTGGATAGTCAGACATGCCCTTTTGGAGACAAGTGCTGGCGCGAGGCCAACACTCCCGGGCATCCTTGATCCGGGGGGGCGGCGCGCAGCACCCATGGTGCTGGCGCCGCCCCGGCGGGGGCTGTATCAGGACGTTCCTATGCAGCCCCTGTGCCAGCTGTCCCAGTCGCCGGGTCACGACCCCGTGCGATACCACAAGAGCTGATGGCCGGCTCTATAAACGCACGGTCATGTGAAATAACCGGCTAGCGCAGTTTGGCTGACGCGATGCGCGGAGCGACCACTGCGGCCGCTCAGCGCCAATCAGCCGTCGCAAAGTCCGACGATAATTCCTTTATAGGGATGCTGAGGTGCATGATAGCGGGCGGGATCTCATCGTATCTTGAGGAAGCGCTGGGCCTGCTCAAGTCGGGGAAACCCGAAAGAAGCTCACTGCGCCATGCCGCAGGGAGCAACAACAAGCGGCGGCCGATGGCGACCGATAAGAACAGAAAGGTAAACATGCACCCATCGACGCATATCCCCACTCCATGGACGATGAGGGAACTGAGAAGGGGGGGGCCGATGCCGATTTTTACGAAGCACGGTGATCCATTCTGTTTCCCGAACAAGTGGCGGAATTGGCGTGACAAGACTACCCGAGTGCACCAGCAGCTCGCGAACAACGACGCGAGTGAGCTGGAGCACGAGGTATGGAGGCCGTGGCTCGACTGGGAACAAGAGCTCGCGTCCGAGGACGGATCTAGCAGCGATGCCAGCGAAGGCCATGCCGACGCTGCATCTGCTAAAAGACGCAGTCAAAGAAAAGGGAGCAACGGGGCAGTAAAGCTCGGATCGATGCGCTTTATCATTGATACCGGTTGCGGCTCCAACCGCATCGCTCTCAAATAGATCTAGAACGCAGGCACCATTAGTAAAATGAGGGAACTCAAAGTTCCAATCACATGTAACACGGCAGGAGGGCTCTCTAGCGCTCTAGGAACCGTGAAGGTGACTTGCGACCAGCTGATGAGTGGAAAGTTCGACACGATTGTAATGCTTGAAACATCGAGCGTGATATCCGTGGGCGATTTTTGCATGGATCACGGCTATAGTTTCTATTGGACAAGAGGGAAAACGCCGTATCTCCTCCTACCCAATGATATGAGATTGAACTTAACGGCTGATGACAAAATACCGTACCTCAACGTTGGAGGGGGTGAGGCTGTGGGTCGATTAGACGAGGCAGCTCCCGCCTACCCTGCGGGGTTAGAGCGATGGGCTAGTGTGGAGACTAACGCGAAGTCTTTCCTGGCAGACCCCGAGCAAGCGGGTGGTCCCCCGCTCCAGGCTGTCAGGTACCGCGCGACCCTGGACCTGCAGTCGCAAGAGGTGATGACGGAGGATTCATATGTGAATGGTAAATTAGAAGACCGTTCGGACTGCCACCACGGAGGCGTGCCTCATAGAACCGACCTCGACGGTAGGACATCATCACTTATTTCTATTATGAGCCTCAGATGGCGAACCGGGCAGGCTGGAAGTCTGGCCCAGCCGGGATCGTCAACAAAATGCTTCTGATTCCCGCATGCCTCGGCCATGCCGTTGGACGTGGGAGATATGCCGCTCCTGCACCTGCAGAGGGGGCAAAAAAAGAACAAGCGGAGGCACTGGGCGCCATCGATCTAGTCGACGATGATGGCGTCGAGGACTCAATGCAGGAGCCAGGGGATGAGCCCAACAAGACTGAGCGACTTGAAAGGGGGGGCTCAGTCCAGAAAACACATGATGACGCACTTGCCTAAGAATCCATACTGCCAAACGTGTACATGGGCGAAAACGCTCAGGGCGCAACGGCGCAAGAAGCAGAACAAATCACTGAAGAAGTTGAAGCCTTATTCGGCGCCGAACACATTCGGAGGGCTATGCACAATGGATCACTGGTTTGCGTTGGATGACCTATCGAAGGGGCTCTATGGGGAAACTTCCTGTGTGACGCTGCGCGATCGGATTACAAGATTCCTTGCTGCTAAGGGTACCTTCGGCAAGTCGGCCGAGCAGGTCACAGATTTCTTGGTGAATCTGCGGGCACCTCGCGAGCAGTTTGTGTATATATATATATATGTATATATGTATATATGTATATGTGTATATATGTATATATGTATATATGTATAGATGTATATATGTATATATGTATATATGTGTATATATATACGGATCCGGCTAATGAGCTAGGATCTGAAGATAGCACGCGACTCCACACCGCCGGCCAACAATAGATATAATTCCGTAGCTGAGCGCGCCAATGGCGTCGTTCAGGACGGAGCTAGAACATTGCTCATGACTGCTGGTCTTCGGCGCAGTTTTGGGTGTACGCCGTGCCTTACTTTTGTACCTGCTACAATGCAACGCAACAGGAGAACGGCAAGACTCCATGGGAGTTGCGGGTCGGAGGACCGTTCAACGCCCCGCTGGTCCCCTTCGGGTCAGCTATCCGATATATGCCGCCGCCGGAACCCAGGATGAAGACGATGATGATGATGATGATGATGATGATGATGAGGAGGAGGAGGAGGAGGAGGAGGAGGAGGAGGAGGAGGAGGAGGAGGAGGAGAAGGAGGAGAAGGAGGAGGAGGAGGAGGAGGAAGAGGAGGAGGAAGAGGAGGAGGAGGAGGAGCAGGAGCAGGAGCAGGAGTAGGAGCAGGCCTCTGGGGAGCCTCTTGGGACACCTTTGGGCCTCCTCGGAGTTTCCTCGGAGCCTTTTGGAGGCATCTTGGGAGCCTCCTTGGGCCTCTTGGGAGCCTTTTGGGGGTTCTTGGGGGCCTCTTTGGCAGTCTTAAAGCGTTCCTGGCCCATCTGACGCCGTCGAAAGCCGTTTTGGATGCTTCTCTGAACCGACTTCGGGCCTTTCTGGGCGCTTCAGGGCCGTCTTGGAGACCATGTTGGGCGTCTCGGAGGCCTCTTCGGCCGTCTTGGGGCTCTCTTGGAGCCGTCTTGGAGGCTTCTTGGGCCGTCACGGGGTCATCTTGGAGGCCTTTGGGGCCATCTTGGGACGATTTGGGGGGCCTCTTGGGCTGTCTGGGGCTGTCGGAAGGCCGAAAAGAAGCAAATTCCCAAATCCTTCAACGACCAAAGGACACATCAATGATTTTGGCCTCTTCGGGCCCTCCTGGAGGACCTCTTGGAGGCCTCTTGGGCCGTCTTGGAGGCCTCTTGGAGGCCACTGGGGCCGTCTTGGAAGCTTCTTGGGCGAACTTGGAGGCATCGTGGACGCTCTTGGGCCGTCTTGGAGGCCATCTTGGGCCATCTTGAAGCCGTCGGGAGCGGTAAAAACGTTTGCAACCACTTCTGGAAGAGTCTTCCGGGTGGCCAGCGGCATGCGCCGAGGCCCCAAGGGAGTTGCTTTGGGAAAGAACCATTTGCCAAACCCCCTAAACGGTAGGGTCTAGCACGCCAGGCACCCCTGCGATAAATCAACAGGGGCGGCGGATCTAGCAGCCTGCGGCTCATCCCGCCACCGTGCCTGAGTCGTGGACCAGGTGAATCTTGGGGTCTCTACCGTTGCTTTCGAAAAAAAACGCCCATCTCGAATGCGTGTTGAAGCGGGCCCAACCCTCTGGCCCCAATTGCAAAGTTCGGGGTGGTCGACGCGGGGGAGTGCGAGTCGTTTCGAAAAAAAACGCCCGCATTTGCAAACCGCAGCCTGCTCCTGTAGATGAACATTGAAATTGGTGGCGTGGGGGGCGCTCTTGCGCCATCTTCTAGGCGTTGTACTTGGGCGTTTTTTTCGAAAACGCCGGTGGGAGCGCCTCTTGAGGGCCTGTGTTGGGCTTCCGGGCAGCATCTTGAAGCCTCATGGGGGCCTCATGAGCCCCTTGGGAGTCGCCTGGGCGTCCATGTGAGATCGTGTGGTATCCTGCTGGGGGTCTTAGGTCCATCTTGGAGGCGGGGCTTCTGGCGGTTCAGCGGTTGTGCCGTTTGGGTCCTAAGAGGGGAGGGCCGTGTTGGAGGGCTTTTGGGCCTTTCGCCTCTCTTGGGCTTCTCTTGGGCTGTTAGGAGGCTGTCTTGGACGTCTCTTGGGCCCTCTAGCGCTCAGACGACCGAAAAGGCGACAATTCGACAATCACGCAAACACTAGTAGATGTTCAGTAGTTCAGGGCTCTTGGACCGACCCCCAGAGCCCCCAAGACGGCCCCAGCCTCGACCGTCCGACTGCATGTTTGACATGTAGACTCCCAATACGGTTCCGAGGCCAGGAGCGCCCGGGAGCGCAAATTTGGCCCGTCACTTGGGGACTCGGGGCCGTGAGAGAGCATTGCAGTGCTCTTTCATTCAAGAGTTCGAAAGGGGCTTGAGGGCACCCCGCTCGCGGTGGCGGGTTTTCGGGTAGACGGCCCAGTTGATTTCTAGTTTGCTAAGGACGGCTTCTTCGAGACCCCAGACGAGAAGCGCGTCAGGCTCGCGAAGGAATACCTCGGCAAGCTGGGGGAGGGCCGCCCGGAGGAGCAGGTGAGGGAGCAGTTGGCGCTGGACGTCGAGGAACAGGCGAAGCGTACACGCTTCCGGGTGTCCGATCTGTCGTTGGGAGACGTCAGGCGCTTCGGCGGCCAGAAGAAGACCGTGTCCTGCGTTTGCCTCAGCTCTGACGAGAAGACCGTCTATGCTGGAGGCAAGACTTGTGAGGTGTCGCGATACGACGTGGAGACAGGCAAGAGGGACCCGTTCCCTGGCCAGAAGGGCTCATTCGAGTGTGGAGGTCATTTTGACCAGGTCCGCGGCGTCTGCTTAGTGGAGTCGCTAAACCTGTTGGTCTCGGTAGGGCAGGACCGCGTGGTGCGGTTGTGGGACTGGCGGGCCCCTGCCAGAAGTCGATCCACGGCGACAATGCTTGGGCACCAGAGCGCCATCACGGCCGTGGCAGCCGAGCCGGATGGTACCCAGGTGTACACTGCGAGCATGGACCAGTCGTTGAGGATATGGGATTTGCGCACTCAGAGGAACACCGACACCCTATTGGGCCATGTGTCAGGTGTGTCGGCTCTTGATATATATAGCAAGGGCAGGCCGCTCTCTGGCGGTGTCGACAAGACCGTGAGGCTGTGGAAGGTAGAGAGAGATACCCACTTGATGTTCAACAAGCACACGTACGCCGTAGATTCGGTATGCGTTGTGGATCAAGACCGCTTCGTGTCAGGCTCTCAGGATGGGAGCATCATGTTGTGGAGCCAGACGTCAAAAAAACCGCTCGCTTCCACGAGCTTGGGCTCGAGGCAGTGGGTGTCAGCACTCAGCAGCGTGCGCAGAGGCGACATAGTTTTCTCGGGCTCATCTGCTGGCAAGCTGCAGGGCTGGCGCCTCGTGAAGGCGGAGGGCGGGACTGACAAGAAGGGGTTCGAGTTCGTGCCGGCTTTGGACAGCATCCAGCTCCCCGGTTGCGTCAACCAGATCGCTGTTGGAAAGCGCATCGTTGCTTGCGCAGTGGGGAAGGAAGTCAAGGCTGGCAGATGGATTTACGAGCGCTCGATGCGGAACGGCGTTGTCATTATGCCATTGTCCTACAGTGAAGGTTGAGGAGGAGATCTAGCCTAGAGGCCATCAGTCGCTGCAGGCCTGGTCTAGATGCCAACGCAGTGCTGCCTCCCATCGCCGAACAACATCCACAACAATATCTGCTTAGCCAGCGTGCCATGCACCCTAATGTAATTGCCCCATCCTCTATTATGTTGCGTCTTTGACTCTTCCATCGTTCCTGGCTTCCTTCGTTGATGTGACTACAAATTTGTTCTGGCGCGGCTTATCTCTTTATCGTTCTCTCTCTATTTTTCTTTCCGTCTCTCCATCTGTGAACATATGCATTTAAATCAGAATCATGAGCCGAATGTTATTATACAGTCTCTGGGTGCGTGTCTGAAGTTGGGTTCGGAAGTGCGGATTATTGCTGTTTGGTCCCCACCCGACAGATTGGGTTGTTCTCTTCTAAGTTAGTGAACTGAGTTGGCTCTGCGGTGCGGGATTGTTCCTTCAACTAAAAATTCAAAATCGCTGTTTTCGGAGTGGGAATTTGAACATTGAAGCATTGAGCATTGCATTGAACATTTGAACATAGATTTGGTTTGAAATTTGCCTGTTGTTCAACGTGGGGAGGTCCGAATTGTCAATTTCAGGTGTTTCAGATCCGGCGCATACGCACTTGGTTTATTATTCAAGAGGCGTGCACCATTCCGCCGGCCCCCAGAAGAGTCCACGGTTGGTTGAGGCGTCGTGGGCTTCTTGGGAACTATCTGAGGACTTTTGTGGGCGTCTTGGGAACTGTTTGGGGGCCTGGTTGAGCCTCTTGGAGGCAGTTTTGAAGCGTCTTGGGAGCCGTTTGGGAGCTTCGTTTGGGCCTCGTGGGCGCCTCATGGGACTTATTCGGGGCCTCTTTTGGGCCGCTTGGGGGCTTGCGGCTTTTGGGGGGCTGTTTGGGGCGGAAAGATAGGATTTTCGGTTCGTGTTCTCCCTTTGGTTGGGCCTCTCTTGGGGCGATCTTTGGCCGTCTTGCGCCCCCCCCTTTGTGGGCCGTCTTGGAACCCTATTGGACCGTCTTGGGGCCCTCGTAGGGGCCTCTTGGGCAGTCCTGGGGCGGTCTACGGGGCCACTTGGGCCGTCTTGGAGCGTCGGAAGCTCGAGAAGACGATAACCCCAGAAGTAATGAAAAACCCGGGGACATACCTAATCCTTTTAAGCATGTGCTGAGTATATCTATATATATATATATATACACATCGGACTGCTGCTAGCTTCTTCGGGCGTCTTGGAAGCTCCTTGGGCGTTATGGAGGCCAGCTTTGGCGTCTTGGTTCGATCGTTTGATTACTCGGGGCCGTCTTGGGAGCCTCTTGGGGTCCTCTTGGCCCGTGTTGGGGCTCTCCTGGGCCCGAAAAAGCACCCCAGGAAAGAGTAGACCTCCCCCTCCCCCCTTCCCCGGCAAAGCCCCCCCGACCCCCTCAGCAGAGCTGAAGCTCAGGCTGTAGCTTTTGTGAGCTGACACGTCGGATCGACGGATTTTGCAACCGACAGAAACACTTTTAGTGCAAGCGTCGTTTGGCGAAAGGAAAGGGGGGGGACACCCTTCCAGCCGAAGGGGGGATGAGCCGAGGCAGACCCCGCAGATTGTCAACGTGCGGCCCTCTCTTGGAGTCTCTTTGGAGACCCATTCGATCCATATTGTTGCCCTCGTGGCACTTCTGGGACCCTCCCTCTTTGGCCGTGTTGGGGCCATCTTGAGGCCTCAGAGGCCCGCCGGATGCCAAACATGCGAGACGACGACAAACATCTAACAGCTTGAGGATGTTTTAACGTTCTGAGCCTCTCGGGGGCATTGGGCTCCGGCGGGGGGTCGGGGGTCACCTCAGAGTCATCTTGGGGTCTGATGGGCCTCTTGGAGTCATGCTGGAGGTGGTCTGGGCTTTTCTGTCCTGCGCTACTTACCTGGTGACATCATGGAGCCATCCGATACCCAGGGCCATCTTAGACACTCCAATCCCTCGCGACCAGTTGGGGTCCAGACCAGCGGGAGGGGACGAGGGTGCATTATACCCCTCCTTCGAAGGATGGAGGTGTTCTTTTGGAAGAGCTGGTGTGCCTCACCTTGGACACTCAGAGGGCTCGCGGTATTTTCGATGTACTTGCACTGTCATTCCGTATCGAAGCCACCTGTCGTCCACAGGCATTATGGTCCAGGCTCAGTGAGTGGGGGTAGGAGCGGCTTAAAAGGCATTCTGCAAAAGGAGGGTTGGATCATCCATCAGCAATGCCGAACAAGAAAAATGGTTGCTACATCGCCATGCTCGTCCTGGGCATGCTTGGCACAGGCAGTATCAATACAATCACCGTGAACATGCAGCTGAAAATGAACAGCGTTGGAGTCGAAGGCGACTTCAAAACGTTCAAGAAGCCGTGGTTTGCCACCTTCAACATGATGTTCGCCATGATGCTCGTGATCTTTGCGGACATGCTCGTGGGCTTCTGTTGCCGCCGCCAGCAGGGGCCAGGGTCGGAGCATCTAATCGACGCACCGACGAAGGAACACGGCTCCCAGAAATCAGTGCCGTATTGGAAGCGAGTGTGCATGGTGTCGATCGGAGCGCTCTTTGATTTGTTGGCCACAGCGCTTTCGAGCATGGGCCTGTCGTACATCCCAGCCAGCGTGTGGCAGATGTTGAAAGGTTCGTCTCTGCTGTTCACGGGTGCCTTCTCCGTCATCTTCCTGAAGCGTCAGCTTTACAAGTTCAATTATGTGGGTTTGTTCCTCTGCTTCGTAGGCGTAACTGTGGTAGGCCTGGCCAGCGTGCTGGGCAGCTCTGACACGCCAGACGAGCCCGATTCGGAGCCATTCTCAGTAGGGTTGGTGATCTTCGGCATGTCGCTGGTGCTTGCAGGCCAGGTGGTGCAAGCTGCGCAGGTGATCGCCGAGGAGTGGCTCATGAAGGACCTGGATCTGCCTGCGTTGCAGGTCATCGGATGGGAGGGCATTTGGGGCGTGCTGATGATGCTGGCGGTGGTCTACCCGTTGCTTTATGCTCTGCCCGGCGACGACAACGGGCACGTTGAGGATGGATGGAGGGAGGGAGGGAGGGAGAGGAGGGAGGGAGGGAGGGAGAGGAGGGAGGGAGGGAGGGAGAGGAGGAGGACGAGGAGAAGGAGGAGGAAGACGAGCAAGAGGAGGGGGAGGAGGAGGAGGAGGAGGAGGAGGAGACGGAGGAAGAGGATGAGGGTTACGACGACTTCGCCGAGGGAGCAGGGTGCAGAGAGCAGAAAGGCATCAGGGTACTGTATAGGGGAAGATGGAGGAGGGCGGGAGCAGGGAGAAGGGAGTACTGCCAGGAGCAGGGAGGGAGAAGGGAGGATGGAGGAATGGAGGGAGGGAGGAGGGAGGACGTCTTCGATACAGCGGTCATGCTGAAGAACAGCGCGCCTCTCCTTGGCTGCGTGCTTGTATACATGCTTTCCTGCAGCACCTTCAACGTCACGGGGGTCCTCATCACGAAGGAGTTGTCTGCGACGCATCGGCAGATGATGGACGCGTTCCTCTTACCCATCCACGCTACCTCTTTCCCCATGATCCTTGTCCTCCTCCTCCTCCTCCTCCTCCTCCTCCTCCTCCTCCTCCCCCTTCTTCCTCCTTCCGTCTTCCTCCTCCTCCTCCCTCCTCCTCCTCCTCCTCCTCCTCCTCCTCCTCCTCCTCCTTCGGTCGCCGAAGGGGGGATGGAGGGAAGGGGATGCAGTTGTCCCAACCAACCTGCTGTTGGGTCGTCGTTTTGAAGAGACAGTCCCGGCGTTCTTCCTCCTCCTCCTCCTCCTCCTCCTCCTCCTCCCCCCTTCCTCCTCCTCCTCCTCCTCCTCCTCCTCCTCTTCTCCTCCTCCTCCTCCCCCAGCCGTACTGGCACAGGCGAGTTTGCTGTGCTTGCAAGCGCGTATCTTCAGTGCGGCTCGTGCTTGCGAGCCAAGATATCAAGATTGCTCAGTCTGCATCGGCCGCCACCGCCATCGGTGGCCGATGGCCCCACCTCCTCCCGACTTGTCCGATGTCATGCGAGGCCCCAGGAAGCCTACTTGGGCCTGCGGCGCCTGCGGAGTGGCGACAGCGAACTGGGCATGTCGGGTGCGGTGCGCCTGTGGGCGAGAGGCCCCGATGCGCATACGCAAGGCAGCCATGGAGCACCATCAGCGGTGGGAGAAGGAGCATGCAGCCGATGGTGCAGCAGGGCGCGGTGGCAAGGGCAAGGGCAACGGGCTGCAGCGCGTGGCTCAAGTCGCCCTGCCGCCTGATGTCAGCAAGCGCCTGGCTGAGATCGAGAAGCTCTTGCGCGGAGGGGGGCAGCCAGCTCCAGCATGCGCAGGCAAGGAGGGGACCAGCAATAGCAAGCCTCCTCCATGGAAGGCTGGCGCTGACCCCCAGCGTGACACCAAGATCCAGGACACGGGCTCCGATGAGGTCAAGAAGGCCAAGCTCGCCACTATGCTGGCGTGCTTCGAGGCCAGCCACAAGTCACTCCCGCACGGTTCGGATCACGACGGACTGCGGGCCACACTCCAGGCAGCCGTGGTGCACTGCCGAGCCACCTCCGACCTTCAGAAGGTATCTGCTGCGGTCACCAAGTTCGATGCTGAGCTCGTGGAGAAGCAGAGACAGTTGGAAGAGCTGCAACCTTGCGTCCAAGAAGGTTGAGGTCACTGCTCTCCAGGCGGAGGTCAGTCAGGCGGTGCAGCAATTGGGTTCGACTGCAGACAAGAAGGATCGCGCAGACGTTGACCCGCTCAGCGTCAAGCCAGAAAGGGCTTGAAGACGAGGAAGTGCGCAACCTGCTCGGCTCCTCGGCCTGGTTCAAGCTGCGCGAGCACATCGCAGGCAATATGCCCACCAAAGATGCGGCCATGCCTCCTGCTGACGTTCCTGAGGGTCCCGCTGCTGCTGCTCGCGATGACGCTGGCAGTGGTGAGCACAAACGCACCTTGGATGAGTTGGAGGAGTCTGAGCGGCAGCAGCTGTTCGAGGCCGCCCAGTCAGGATCTGAGGAGTTCACACGGCTCCTTGGCGAGATGGCAGCCAAGCGACATAAGCGCTCCTTATGATCTGCCCAAGCTCTCAGGATTGAGGCTTCGAGCAGGTGCTGTTCGCCCTCCAGTGCAGGCCCAGGCACACGGGACATTCTTCATCGAGACATTCAATGCTCCGGGAGGTCGGGAGACGCTGAAGACCAGACTGATGAAGTCCAAGGCGGTCATCCTGATGTGCCGGGGGATAGGCTACACTGACGAAATTGTTGAGGCGCTCTACACATGGGCGCAAAACAGGTAATGGAAAAGTTCAGCCATCCCTGCACGACGTACTGCAGGCTCCGTTCCGTCAGGAGGTGCAGCAATATTTGTCCGCGACGCGCTCGGCATTCGGCACCCTGAGCACGGGCAATGTCTGTGGGAACATAGGTTGCAGCAGGTCATCGTCGACATAGTGGGGTGGCCTCCGATTGCGGTTTTTAGCGCTTACATGAAATATTCCATCGACCCCGCTGGCATCAATTCTGATATATTGGCTACTGCAGGCAGATTATTGGCCCAACGTTCGGGGCCGACGTTGATCGGAGGAGACCGGAATATGGCACCCATCGATTTGGAGCAGTCCCTCTTCACCAGCAAGCGGACTTGGTCCTAGCTTGCCCCAGCCACGTCACGTTCCGCGGCGGCACAGGCACGAGCACGATCGATTTCTTCTGCCTGAGCGATGCTATGGTTCGGGGTTATCGCGGTGTGCATTCAGTAATGTCTTGGCACAAGAAGGCGAACCGGCCAGTTCAATTGCAGTTAGTCGACAACGGGTTCGAGATCCAGCACTACGTGTACTCTGTGTCATCCAAGCTGCCTGTTCTGCCGCCGCCTGGACCATTGCCTAGGCCGCTCGACTGGTCGCTTCATCGCATGCTTGCGGAGCGCACTGTCGAGCTAGCGGCAGACCCCAGCAGCGATGTTGCAATGGTATGGGCTCTGCTGACACGAGTGTGTGTGGCAAGTTTGCAGTATCGTTTGCTGAGCACATCGCGCAGAACACTGGAGTCGAGCTTCGAGAGCCAGGAGCCTACGCCAGGAACTTCGAGCCCAGGTGGGTCAACGTGGCGTGCCCGTCTAAAGATTCCAGTGATGTTCAGAGTATAGTCCAAGGCTGGCAATGGCGACAGAATGCTCTCACAACGGTTCAGTCTTTGTATGCGAAGTCAGATTAAATGATGCAGTGCTCTGGGGAGATTGCGGCGTCTGCCGTCTCCACCTATCCTGGGCAGGGACTGAATGCGAGGCTCGATGCGAAGATTGCTCAGGCCAGGGCGCTGGCCAACGCCATCCCGATGGACTTGGATCATATTCAGTCGATTGTTGAAGATGTTGTTGGCGACGTCGCCCATGCGGCCAAGGGCCAGGAGTAGGACTCCAACGCAGCCTGGGCTGAGTGGTGTCGCACCGCGTCGCGCGGAGGGGCGAGGCCGCTCCGTCGCGCCACGAAGGTCAAGGCCATTCCCGCGCCAGCTGTGGCAATCGGGACCCAGCCAGGAGATCCCATCACCATCGTCGCTCAGGAAGTTGAGATGCACCGACGTCTGTGGAAGGCGTCCGAGGTGGCGACGACGCCCTGGATCCCCGACCGCTCGATGCGCCCGCCGCCTGAGCCAGGTGACCTCAGGCGTGCTGCCCAATCCTTCCCCGCAGGCACGGCGACGAGCTACGACCATTTCCGCCCGCGGCACCTCATGCTGCTGGATGGCGACGGCCTCCACATGTTGGCACTGCTGTTTGCGGCGTCTGAGGCCATCGGCATGTTGCCCCAGCAGCTCTGCTGGACTCACCTGCCGATGTTAGGCAAGCCGTCGGGTGGCAATCGTTTGATCGTATTGCATGCTGGAGTTCATCGTGTTTGGCAGAGAGCACGAACGCCGATGGTAACACATATGCACTCTGCTCTTGATCGCAAGTACTGGGGCGCCAGTCGTGGGCGGTCTGCTACATATTGTGCGCGGTTGCAGGCTGCTCGGTCAGAGAGCAATCAGGTCGCGCACATGTATGGAGTGCTCATCGTGGCGGATTGGAGCAAACGCTACGAGTCCATCCCGCTGCAGGAGCCCCGCGGCAAGTACCAGCGACATGGTGCGCCGACCTGCTGGCTAAAGCTTGTGGTCAACATGTGGCCCTGCCCGCGGATCATCAGGCTTGGACGTCATATTGCTGGCGCGGCGCTGGTGGCAGCGCATGGTTTGCCTGCAGGCGACGGGTGCAGCGACCTGCCCATCAAGGTTCATGCTGTGGATGCGCTCGACACGTTTGTAGAGCGCGCCCTTTTTGTGGACTTCCAGAACTACATCAGTGATACTGGGATCCATGTTTCAACCAGTGATTCTGTCATCGCCAAGTCCGTCGCAGTTGCAGGCATGAACCAGTTCGCAGCAGCCAGCAAGAAGTTAAACGCAGCGCTGCATCCAGGTAAGCTGTATATCCTGCCCACGCCTCGAGAGTTTGGTCGTGATGCATGCGCTGCTCTACGTATGTCTTTATCGGCGTGTAAGTCGAGCGTGACGTAGCTCGGCGCTGATGAATCAGCAGGTGCTCGACGGTGTGCGCAAAGGGCTCGTCTGAAGCAGAGGTGCCGTATAGCGCAGCTTCTATTTGTTATTACATATATATATATATATAATACTTAAAACAATTCGGAACGTTCGGGCCCTCCGCATGCGTTTTAAGGGACCCAAGGAGACCCCTTTTTTAATAAGGTCTCGAAGCAAGGCGTGGCTCCTGCTTGCGGCTTCGGGGCTGAAGTCTTGGGTCTCACAGCCTCGGAGTGGCTGACCCTTAAGAGAATGATGGCCCGCAGTGAAGGGCCTGCCCACGGTGGAGTTTCGCTGACAGCTAAGGGTGTTTTTGCTGGGTGACAGCAGTGCTCGATTCGCCCTGGCCCCTGCGCTCCAGTGGTGTAGGATGATATGGACTGCCTCGCGGCGTCCTGGTCTGTCACTGGCCCCACACGCCGAGCTACTAAAACTGCGGGAGTTTTCTAAGCCCCTAGAGTGCCCCTCGAGTTTAGGACGTGTGGGATGGCGAGCCGACGGCCCGCTGTCCTGGATTGACCACAACGGTTCGAAGATATATTTGTCTGTCACTCCCCCAGCACTCATAGCGGACCAGTTGGAGGCTGGACTGCAAAGAGAGCGAGAGTTTGATGTTTCTCGGAAGCTTGGTTCTGCCCCTGGGGCCAGGGCTACCCTCGACCTGATTCGAGACGCCGCGGGGCCAAACGCTAGGAAGTCAAACCGTCACCAGAAGTATATTGTCAAGAGCTGCGCATGCGGTGGGCTGTGGACGAATGATTGCGCGATGCGCGCGGGTTACTTGTGCGACGGTTTGTGCGAGCGTCGAGAGCCAGACGCAGTCCACCATAGGTTATATACCTGCCAGCTCCAGCGTGTTGCAGATGCGCGAGCGGCGGCTGAGGTCCCTGAGTCTCTTCTCAGCGCTGCTCGTGATAATCCAGACAACCTCATCTTCACTCGAGGGGTGCACGTGCATGAAGACAGCGCGTTGCCATGCCCTTCGGTGTCGAGCGAGGCCTTTCTGTGCGATGGGAATGGCAACGTGCTCGATATGGACCCCGAAACGATTGCAGATCTCACCTCCCGGGCCCCTTTGCGTTTAGCATCGGACGGTTCGAGCGCTAAGCCTTGGATCCGACCGTTGCAGCGCGCGGCCTGGGCAGTAGCAGTATGCCCAGATGAAGGAGAGGACCCCGTGGCGATTGTCAAAGGCATCGTCCCAGGGGTCTCGCCGCAGACTCCAGCAATGGCTGAGCGCTGCGGCATTGCTATAGGCGGACAGATAGCAACGCGCTCTGCCGTGCTAGTCGCTGACATTCAGCCTGCGATCAGGCTCTGTCAGAAGAATGTGCACGATCAGCTTTCACTCTCCAGCAAGTTTGCTGGCGCGCGCGCATTCGCGCATCAGCTCGAAGGCGCTGCTGCGATTCAGACCACTCGGCGCGTCAAGGCTCACCGAGAGGAGGCTGAGATCCAGAGTCTCGAGGGTGAAGAAAAGCTTTTTGCTGTTGCGAATGCTGCTGCTGATCGCTACGCCAAAGACGGTCTCAGTATGCGCCCAGCTCCGTCGCCAGGGTTTACTCAATATTTATGTCTCGCTGGCGAGCGGGCTGGGAATTGCATGACGCTTGCGGCGCAGGTGCCCCCTCTTTGTGACAATGGGGCGCGATGGGCAAGGCCCCGCGTTATCAGCGCCCCTCGACCACGGCGAAAAGTGTCGTGGCATGATTGGCAAATGAATGATCTTGGTCGCCAGTGCAGGATGTGCTTCACAGTTGCTGAAGGCAGTCTTGTTTCGGTCCCCGTGGATGGTTGTAGAGGGCTACCGCCATTTCTCCGAGGTCTGCTCCGCGATCCCATGGGCCACAAGCTCGTCGCCATGGCTGGATCGCTCTCGAATGCTGGCGGTTCGGCGTCGTGTCGGCGCTCGCCCAAGGAGCAGATTCTCTGCATCTGCTGCGGGGGGTGGTCACAGGGGCGGGGTTTAAAGCTCGGCCGTCAGTGCGAGGCCCCGTCGCGTGAAGGTTTGGAGATTTTGGCTGAGTTCAGGAAGGGTCACTGCCCGAACCCAAGAGTTCGGGCAGCCGTTGATCGTGCGGTCCCTCTTGCTAGGCTCGGCCTGTCCGCCGCCCCTCCTGAGCCCGAGCCTCCAACGGTGGCCAGGACCTCACACTCAAGCTCCCTTGTGGCCCCTCATATGAGCAGCGTGTGTCGGCTCTCTGTGAAAGGATTCGCTTAAAGGAGCAGGCCAAGTCGGCCCGCTCCCTAATGTAATCCTAAGTTTTGATTTCAAGTTTTGGCCGTTTTAGTGCGGTGCACTCCTCTTCGGGTCTTCCGTTCCGTTCCTCCTTTTCCCCCCCTCCCTCCTCCCGTCACCCCCCTCACTTCGGTACACTCCTCACGCGTTTCGTGACCAGCATAGGAGCTCAACCGAGGGTCCCAGTGATGCTGCCCGCATCCCCCCCCGCCATTTCATTTCGGCGCACCCCTCGCGGCCCGGTCGGGGCAGCTGCGCTCGCTGAGCACTGCGCCCCACCCAGCTCCAACCTGCCCATCCAGGCATGGGGCGCCACTTCCCTCCATCTGCAGCCCCCCACTAGCAGGCGGGCCGCCGCGCCCGCCTGTGCAGCGGCGTCGCCACGGTCGCTGCCCTCCGCCTTCCGCCTCGCGTTTCCTTTGCCCGCCCTTGGCCTGGGAGCCGCGCTCCCGCCAGTTAGGCCGAGGAGCCGCGCGCCTGCGCGCCGCGCTTCCTCGCCCCATGGCACGAGCCGCGCCTCCCATTCCCCGGCGGGCTGGTCCAACCCAGCGCTGGCTCTGCGCTCGCCCGCTCTCTTTTGGGCTGCCCTCCGTCGCCGTTCCGCCCGCCGCGGCCGGCGTGCGCTCCGGGCCTCCGCTCTTTTTCTTTGCCCCTCGTCCCCGCCCGGGTTCGTCGGCGCGAGTCTTCCGCAGCCCCGGAATGGGCCTCCGGCGCGCCACTGCGGTCGCTGCTTCCCTCGCTGCGCGCCCATCTTGTTCGCCCCATCAGGGGCGCCTTCTCCACCGTGGCTGCGCCTGTTCGGCGCCCGCCCTCGTTGCCCCGTCGCGACGTGCTCTGCGGCCCCTGCAGGATAGTCAACGGCGCGCGCGCGCTTTTTCGGCCTGCTGGCCGCATACCTCTCCGCCCCTGGCGCCTGGGCTGGTCTTGCCGCCCGCGCCTTCCCCCGCCCCTCTTTGCCCAGCCCCGCAGCTGCTGCTCGCTCCGCGGCGGCGACGGCCGCGCCGCGCGCCCCTGGGAACGACCCGTTCCCCTGAGCGGCCCCGGCCCGTTTCCTCTTCCACTCGGCCGTCGCTTCGTCGCCTTTTCCTCCCTTCTTGCATGGTGGCACATCTCGCTTAAGGGCATCCCCGTGTGGCTTCCTCGCCAGCGCAGTGACTCTGCCTAGCCGCCGACGAAAAAGTTTATTGTACTGGGCCTATGAATGAAGAGGGAATTTGGACGGAGGGTTTATTGTAACATCGCTAGTGAGTCCTGGGTGTGCACTGATCCTCCTCCTCCTCCTCCTCCTCCTCCTCTTCCTCCTCCTCCTCCTCCTCCTCCTCCTCCTCCTCTTCCTCCTCTACCTCCTCCTCCTCCTCCTCCTCCTCCTCCTCCTCCTCCTCCTCCACCTCCCCCTCCGCCCGAAGGACGCATCCCGGACTCTCGTCATCTGGCTATTCGACCTGGGGGTGTATTACCTGTGGGGCTCACAGGGGAGAGGCCCCGATCTGTCCAGCGGGTCCCAACCTGCCGATTTCAGATTCCCGCAGGGTCCCGATTTCGGAATCCCGCTCAGCTGGTCCCTAGACGTTTCGTGGGGTCCATTTTGAGCATTTTCTCGAGTCGTTTCCTGCCCTTGATGGTGACGACCTCCAAAAATGCCCAGAAAATCAGAAACGACGACCTCGGATCTCATGTCCCGATCCGTCGGATTGGATGCGGTCCGATCGTTGCGCTAACCCGTCGGCCGATCGGCGGGGCGTTTTGCGGTCTGAGATGGACAAGACCGCCTAGATGGGTATCGACCTTGGCCCCAGGGAATACTCCAGGACGCTAACCCAGCCGACCCGTCGCCGCCGTCGCCCCCGTCATCCCAGTTGTCCCCGTTCTCGTCGTCATCGCCGTCGTCACCGCCGTCGTCCTCTTCGTCGTCATCGTTGTCGTCCCCGACGTCCTCTTTCCATGCTCCTCAATGTTGCTGTCGTTCCCCTCCATCCCCCCTCCCCCTTATATATATATATATATATATATATATATATATATATATATACATATATATATATATATTCCTTGTCGCGCCCGCAGGCGTGTGGGTAGGGCGGGCCAGGAGTTTCGTTTGAGAGTTCTTCACCGCTCATGGTCCTGAATATGGATATTTGCATTAGCTTGTGGCTTTCGAAATGTGACCCTCGCTTTATTTCCGCGAGTATTCGTTTCTAAGCAGGTTCAATGATGGAGGGCGGGTCGTTTTCAACATGTTGCTATCGCAGTAGCGCCGCGCATGTCGTTTTCAAAAGTCTACAGCAGGTTCAAGGATGGAGGTCTGTTTCAACATGTAGTTGTCGTTGTAGCGCCGCGCACATTCGTCTTAAGCGTTTACACCAGTTTTACGGGATCGTATGGCTGAAGTTCCAGGACTGGTGCTCTGGCACGATGTAGGGTTGTCAGGACGCAACAATTAGTTTGATTCGCAGCGTCGAAACCCCAGGAATGGTGATCTGGCGCGGCTCTCATTGTCAGCACGCTACAGTCACGCTGATTCGCGGCGCCCGCAATGAACAGATTAGCCACCGTGGGCCCCAAACGCAACGCATGCGGGGCAACCTAGGTGGTACAATCAATGTGGTGCATTCTAGGTGGTGCAACGCATGTGGTGCAACCTATGATGCAAAGCCACCATGTCGAACTTGAAGTTGTCAACTCCACAGCTCGCGCAATCATCCCACCCACCCACCCGCAACTTGGTTTGCAAAATCCATGCGGCTGCGATTGCCACGCCCTTTCGGCGCTGACTGGCACATCGCTGCGGCCGCGCTAGCGCGCGCAGGCTCGCGCGCAGAGCGGCCAGCTAATCTAGCGCGACCGACGCGGCCGCAGTGGCGCTGACCGCTGCTGGGCAGTCGGAGGCTAGATTGGCAGATTGATTTTGGGTTCTGGGGCCAATCCGGCATCAGCGTTCCGTGAATTCCAATCCGGCGTCAGGGCGGCGCAGCCCAGCCTGACGCTGACACTGTCAAGGTGATCATTTTTTTGCCCGCCACCGCCTCTCGTGTGTATGTTTCGGGGCCGTCTGGGTTTAAGTGTGCGTTATATTTCGTCAGCGCGAGCCATATTGCATCAGTAGACAGATTGCCAGATTGGCTGCGTCGCCAGAGTGGCCGGACTGTAGCGAGCGCCAGGTTGCACCAGATTGGGGTCGTCGCCAGATTGGCCTTGTTAGACAGTCGCCAGGTTGAAGCATTTTCCAGGCTGCCAGATTAGCAGCGATGCCAGGTGGAATTGTCTCTCATCCAGGAATCCCATTTCTCAAGAACCCGAAGCAATCCGAATGAATATGTTGGAAATCTTCGGGGATTTTTCTGGGATCCTGTGGGATATACGTTGTGCATATTGTGTATTGTGCTGAGCATGACTGTAGCGTAGCGAGCGTACTGTTATTTTGTGGCCCAAACCCTTTAGGGCCCTTGAGTCGAGCGCGCCAGCGGTGTGAAGAGATCATCAGATGTTCTTCTGGTTTTTCATTCCTGTTGTTGCCATCGAAGACTTCGGGGACTTTGATACGTTCATATTGGTAGCGGAGCCTGGTAAGCCAGGCACACGCTTCGACCTGCCATATCTCAGCGACCTCTCTTCGGATTGGGTCGCCCATTCCATAAGCAGCTTCGATCTCCCAGCATAATATCAGCGATGTCGCAGCAGATCTCAGCGATTTCACAGCAGATCTCAGAGGAGAATTTCAAGTCAGTTTACAGCCCACGCACACGACCTCACAGTCGGTCTCATAGACAAGGGGAGTGCGGATTTCGAGAAGCAAGCATCGGACGGCAACCCCTTGCAGCTTCAGTTCAGCACGATGTCTAAGCCAATGGTGGACATGCTACCGGAGCAAGGAATTCCACAGTTCGACGGCACGCTCAAAAAATGGAAAGACTACGGGAAGCGGGCGGTGATTTTTATTGCGAAGCTCACACTGGAGAAGAGGGAGGGCGAATCGGCTCTCATGCTCAGAGCAGGTCTCACAGGGGAAGCTTGGGACGAAGTGGGGGATCTTTCAGCGGACGAGCTCATCGAGCCCAACGCGGCGAAGCATCTCATGGCCAGATTATGGAATCGTTCCAAGATGGACGACAGGACGGAGCTCGCGGACGACTCTGAGGAGTACTTCTTCACGCTCAAGCGGTACAAGGGCGAGACGTTGTTCGCCTACATTGCAAGAGTGCGCGCCGCAGGGCGCAAGCTCAGGACGCGCGACATCGAGCTGCTGGCGAAGGTCCGAGGCTGGCTCGCGCTACGGCGAGGAGGATGCAGCGCGGACCAGAAGGCGGTCATCATGTCAGCAGTTGGTAAGGATATCACACAAGAGAAGGTTATCGAGGCGTTGGAGACAACGTTCGGGTAGGAGAGTATCATGCACGGGCCGAATCACGCACGGAAGCAGCACATCGTCGACGAGGACACATCAGAATATTACGATGGGGAATTCTAGACGCTTCGTTTATCCCCGCCAGCCCATCCCGAAACGATGTCCAGGCGAGTTGAGGTGATCAGGGAAGTGCGGCAGCAAAGAGGAGGACGGCCGAACCGTGCCGTGCAAAGGAGTGAGGAGGAGAAGGAGGAGGTGGATGGATGGATGGATGAGGGAGTGGGAAGACGGAGGATGAATAGGATGAGGAGGAGGCGGAGGAGGAGGAGGAGGAGGAGGAGGAAGAGAAGGAGTAGGAGCAGGAAGGAGGAACAGGAGGAGGAGGAGGAGGGCAAGCACAAGGGCCAGAGGTCTCTTGGATGCCTCTAGGAGCCTCTTGGAGTATCTCTTGGGCGATTATTGGGGGCCTCTTGGGACGTCTTGGGGGTCTCTTGGCGATCCTGGGGGGCTCTTCGGGGTCTTGGGTGCCTCGGGGGGGGGGCCTCTTGGGGCCTCTGAGGGTCTTCTTGGGGGCCTTCTGGGGGCCTCTTGGGGGCCTCTTGGGGCCATCTTGGGGCCATCTTGGGACCTCTTGGGGCCTCCTGGGCGCTTCTTTGTGCCATCTTGGAGGAGATCTATCAAAGAAGAGCTGAGCT